AAATGTCTGTCAGATAAGAAAGCAGCAAGGAAGGTTGGTAGATTACCACAGAGGCCTAAGGAGTGGGCTTAGGCTAAAATATTATACCTTCAAGTGGTGTCGTATGCTTATCCGAGATCAAAAAAGGTTGCTAGGATGGAGTGTGTTAGCAAAGGCATTTCGCACATACGTATCTATGTGGAGCAAGGGGTCCAAAGTAGAGTGACCTTTGTGAAAGCCATATTGGCAAGGGAAAAGACTACTGTGAGTTCAAGAACCATATCAGATGTCTATTCACCAATCGTTCCATCACCTTGCAGACTACACTGGTCAGGGCAATGGGACAACAGTGAGGTATCAAGCCTCAAGGTGCCTGGTTTGTGAAACGGTAGTACAATGGCAGATTTCCATTGTTGAGGGAGAACCCCTCGTGCCCAAATAAGATTGAAAAGACGCAAAAGGACTGTAAGGGCTGCAGAATGCAGATGTAGCATACTGATATGAATGTCATCAGGTCCAGCTGCTGATGTGAAAGGTACATTATACGGCTCCACTCCATCGGAGGAGAAATCAAAGGGCAATTGCTCCTTGGTAGATTTAGATGCAGGAAATGAGGGACAAAGGTGAAGCCCTTGGGGGAGACAGACAAAATAGTTCCCGATTTCCGTGGCAGCTTCAAGAGGTTCCACAATACTAACACCAGCAACCTGCAAAACGGGAGCTGGGTCCAGAGTGTACTTGCCACACAACTTCCGTACCTTCTTCAAAACCGCACACACAGGGGAAGATGAAGTAATGGTAGACACGTAGTCTTGCCAACAAGTGCTTTTAGGGTCGCTCATAATGCGGTGAGCAACTGCCCTTGCCTGCTCAAAATCCAAAAGATGATCTGAGGTCTGATTATATCAATAACAGCCCCACAGAGCATGTTTCAAATGCACTCATGGGCACACACGAGACCACCAAAGCACGCATGTCTGAGAATGCCTGCCTGAAGTTTGAGGAAAGAACATGATGCTGCAGTCAAAACTAAGGTCGAAAACTGGTGCACCAGTTCATCAGCAGAGGACAAAAGAGGGACCCCACAAAAGGTGGTAAGGTGAGAGTACACGTATAAGTCACAATTCGCTCGTGCAAATTGCCAACGAGGGCTACGAGGTGCTCAGGAATACGTAGTAGAAGAACAATAGGAAAGAGATCACTGTCATGTAAATCCGGGAGAAAAGACCAAGCATAAGCAAGTGCAATTGACGAGGAACAGATCAACGCAAGAAAGAGACCAAGTGCGAGAGTCAAGATGAGTAGGAGCACCCGTATTTAACCCCTTGACTGTCGCAACCCCTAATCCTGAGGTGTCTCCTGGTGTCGCAAAGTTTAAAAAAAAAAAAAAATTTTCTTACGAAATGATAGAGAATCTTTTCCCAATTGTAATAATACAAAAAAAAAAAGAAAACGAAATTTGATGGAAAACTGACGGAATTACGCTCTCGTGAAGTTAATGACCTCGGCGATATTTACAAATCGGCGATTTCGCCCGCTTTGAGCCCTATTTTCGGCTAATTCCATTGTTCCAGTCGACCAAACTCATAGCTATTTCTTTAGAACTCTGTTTTTTCTATCGATTGAGTACAAGAAACTGCCCACTTACCGATTTCAACTACCCAATAACGTGATCAGAAATTTGCAATTTGGCCAATTTCATGAAAACTAAAAAATATGACAATTTCAAAATAAGGTCCAGAATGAGCAATGCAGACATTCCTGGCTCTAAAATAACATTTTCCTTGTTCATCAGGCACGTCTCCAGGCCCCTCTGATATTACTTTTGCTTTCTATTTTTAATTTTTATTCAAACAAAAAATAGAAGATTTACTGTTATGCAGACTACTGCAATAATGTAATAATTGTATAAATCATGTCAACCTATTCATGACTGCATATTAGAATGGCTAGTTGGACATTTATGGACAATGACATCATTTGTTTACTTTTGAACATCGGCAAAAATCAAGCATTTCCCCTACTTTGAGCTCCATTTCCAGGTCCTTTTTATAGTAAAACCAATCAAAATCACCTCTTTTTCTATAATATGTTTTCCATTCTATCAAATGAGACCAAGAAAACGATAATACAACCATAAATATTATACGAAAATAAACCACAAAGTCGGCATTTTAATCAAAAAAAAAAAACGGTCGGAGTTTTTTTTTTCTCATTATGCACTGCGTGCTCCAGGATTTTTTTTATATGGTGCACACTGACCACACAGACCCATTCTCTCACATGTGGGCCTACCAGCTTTCTCCTGCTTGATTTGAAGCCGCTAGAATTTATGAGTATATATATGTCAAACACGGTACCTCGTAAGACGTATACTGTATATGCGACCGAAACAGTCAAAGGGTTAAAACATGAAGAGAATGAGAAACGAGAAGTCTCCAATTGATCACCACGAGAATCACAGTGGGACCCTTCCCACAGATGATTGTGAGCTTTAAAATCACCTAACAAGATGGGCAGCAGTAGAGATCAAAAATACAATATCCGAGATACAGAATGCACTGGATGGGGAACGATAGAGCTCAAACTGTACACCATCTGTGTAAATAAATACGAGCTGCAGTGTAATGCAGCAGAGAGTGAACAAAAGCTTTCTGATATGGTATACCAACTTGCACAAGAAGTGAGCTTTCATTAAATGATTCATCAGGGAAGGGATCAGAAGAATGTAACAGCACATAGCCTAAAATGGGACAAATAACAGATGAACAAATTTTGGGTTCTTATAACCTAACACATACTGGGGAAAGCTAGGAGAGCAACACTTGGAGCTCTCCCTGATTACCCGAGGCCACAAATATTCCATTGTAAATAAGATATTATTTACAGAGATAGGTATGCCAACAATAAGAAGTGATAAAATCTATGGGCTATTAGGGTCAGTGAAGTCAATGTGTGGGGATATGGTAAGCATGTAAGCAAGGAGGAATTTGAATGCTGTGAAGAAAAAGATTGTTGCGAGGGTCATGAAAAGTAAGGGGTAGAAGGAGGCACATCGGTGTCCATCGAGGGTTTCGTCTCCACAGTATAGTTGGAGATAGCGTTAAGTGTCTCAGCAGATAAGGAAGATGCCGATACATGTACCATGATTTCAGACAGGTGAAGTACAGCAAGTAGAGGCTGGGGAGACTGGAGAGTACCAAGAGGTCTGAGAGGGGTGGGGAGTATGAACCTGGAACGATGTGCTGGCGGGGGTAGAAGAATCCTGCAGTGGAACAGGAGGTTGGAAGGTAACTAGGGAAGAAGACTCGGAGGGGAACAGAAGAGAGGACTACACGAGGGGGGGGGTGAACCTCCACCTTCGTGTGAGAGTTAGAAAGAAGGTGAACCTCCACCTTCGTGTGAGAGTTAGAAAGGGGGTGAGAACTAGGCACCGAGGTAGTCGACAGATTCAACTTCACAGGTGATAGGTGTGAAGGTGTAGGCTTGTGAGGTCTCAGAGACTGAGAAACTAGTGAGTGAGATGAAGAAGCAGGGAGGGGTAAGGAGGTAGGAGTTTCAGAGAGTAAAACTGCAAAAGAATTGGAAATGGGGGTGACCCTGGAAGACATGGTAGCAGAGGAGCTGGTAGGTGGGAGGACCATCAAGGTTGGAGGTCTCCGACTCGCGGGCAGGACGTATGTATCCACTCTGAGAATAGGAAGGTCCTGAAGGGCTAATTGCTCTAAAATATCATTGCTGCAAGACAGAAAAATCTCTCTGTATAATGGTACGTGGTAAAATCACCATACCACTGCAAGAATTGAGAGTAGTGTGCTTATGAACTATGATTGGAATGTTATCTATGGAAGTTATATGGGAAAGATCATGAGCTCGTTCTGAATCATGCATGCTCTCTGCCAATCCCTCGGTACCTTACCCTCTTCCATACATTTATTAAATAATAGCACCAACCACTCCAAAACTATATCCCCACCTGCCTTTAACATTTCTATCTTTATCCTATCAATCCCAGCTGTTTTACCCACTTTCATTCTACTCACTGCTCCACACATCTCCCCCACACTCACAACTGGTTCTTCCTCACTCCTATAAAATGTTATTCCTCTTTGCCCTATTCATCAACATTTAACAATTCCTCAAAATATTCTCTCCAGCTTCCCGATATCTCTAACTCTCCATTTAATAACTCTCCTCTCCTATTTTCAACTATCAAATCCATTCCTTCCCTATGCTTTCTCAACTTATTAGTCTCACTCCAAAACTTTTATTTTCAACAAAATTTGTTGATAACATCTCACCCACCCTCTCATTTGCTCTCTTTTTACATTGCTTCACCAATGGAAATAAGTCACTCTGTCTGACTTTTTTGGGTTATCCTAGGTTCTCTACACATATGCTGCTATGTATGATAATTCTTTGTAACTGTATTTGTGTATACCTAAATAAACTTACTTACTTACTCTCTTAACCTCTCTCTCTCCATATACTCCTCCCTCCTTGCATCACTTCTTGAATGTGGCCTTGTTAGATTACAGCTAACTTTAATGAGGCCTTCCAACATAGGAAGGTTCTCCACCCTTGACCTAGCCCAACATCTGATGCACCAAAGATATACCCATTTTATGATCCTCACTACTGAATCCATACGATCTCCCACATCCTATTTGCTACAGTATAGCATATTTCTATCCTGAGTACAACTTTGTTTACTTCAAGAGAAAGGGGTGCCTTAATGCTGGTGAAGAGCTCTTGATCTGAGGAATTGGAGGTAATCCTCCTTTTTGGATCAAACCTCACTGATGCTTATTGCTCAAGCACCGTTTCGACATTACTAATAATTTAAATTTTTTTCTCCCTATATGGGACCAGTACTTTACTCACTGCCTCCTCTCCTTTGTCCCAGAATGTAAACATGAATTTATTCACACCAAATTATTCTACATTATCTCCTATAATGCCTTATTCTCCAAATCCTTTTTTAATCCATTCCAATCCCTTCTCCCTCTTTCCATACTCACTCTCTCCAACATTCTTGGTGGTGTAAACATCTTCTGAATGATTGATGATGGCCAAGTACTGGTCCACCAGATAGTTGAACACTTGGTCTACATTGAGATCCTCTTTCACCGAGGTCTGAGAGGGGTGGGGAGTATGAACCTGGAACGATGTGCTGGCGGGGGTAGAAGAATCCTGCAGTGGAACAGGAGGTTGGAAGGTAACTAGGGAAGAAGACTCGGAGGGGAACAGAAGAGAGGACTACACGAGGGGGGGGGGGGGTGAACCTCCACCTTCGTGTGAGAGTTAGAAAGAAGGTGAACCTCCACCTTCGTGTGAGAGTTAGAAAGGGGGTGAGAACTAGGCACCGAGGTAGTCGACAGATTCAACTTCACAGGTGATAGGTGTGAAGGTGTAGGCTTGTGAGGTCTCAGAGACTGAGAAACTAGTGAGTGAGATGAAGAAGCAGGGAGGGGTAAGGAGGTAGGAGTTTCAGAGAGTAAAACTGCAAAAGAATTGGAAATGGGGGTGACCCTGGAAGACATGGTAGCAGAGGAGCTGGTAGGTGGGAGGACCATCAAGGTTGGAGGTCTCCGAGCTACTTGAGAATAAGGAACACGTGGAAGATTTCCCTGACGGCAGAGCTGAGAGACAGCCACAGAGTAAATAAGGCCTTCACTCTCCTTAAGATAATGGATTTCTCATTCATTACTATAGACTTGACAATGCCATGAAAAAGAAGGATGAGATTCATTGCAATTGAGACAAGAGGGAGGAAGACTGCAAGATGTATCGGCATGATCTGTGGCACTGCAGACCAGGCACTCTGCCGCAAATCTGCAGTATTAAGCGGGGTGTCTGAAGTACCAGCAATTACAACACTGTTGGGAAGTAGGGACTACTTTACAGACTCTAGGCGATGGCCTGCAATATAAACGGAGGATGGGAGTTCATGGCAGTCGAAGGTTAAGCAGGCGATGTTACTGGGAGAGCACCTCTGCCCGCGAGCGGGCAGGACGTATGTATCCACTCTGAGAATAGGAAGGTCCTGAAGGGCTAATTGCTCTAAAATATCATTGCTGCAAGACAGAAAAATCTCTCTGTATAATAGTACGTGGTAAAATCACCATACCACTGCAAGAATTGAGAGTAGTGTGCTTATGAACTATGATTGGAATGTTATCTATGGAAGTTATATGGGAAAGATCATGAGCTCGTTCTGAATCATGCATGCTCTCTGCCAATCCCTCGGTACCTTACCCTCTTCCATACATTTATTAAATAATAGCACCAACCACTCCAAAACTATATCCCCACCTGCCTTTAACATTTCTATCTTTATCCTATCAATCCCAGCTGTTTTACCCACTTTCATTCTACTCACTGCTCCACACATCTCCCCCACACTCACAACTGGTTCTTCCTCACTCCTATAAAATGTTATTCCTCTTTGCCCTATTCATCAACATTTAACAATTCCTCAAAATATTCTCTCCAGCTTCCCGATATCTCTAACTCTCCATTTAATAACTCTCCTCTCCTATTTTCAACTATCAAATCCATTCCTTCCCTATGCTTTCTCAACTTATTAGTCTCACTCCAAAACTTTTATTTTCAACAAAATTTGTTGATAACATCTCACCCACCCTCTCATTTGCTCTCTTTTTACATTGCTTCACCAATGGAAATAAGTCACTCTGTCTGACTTTTTTGGGTTATCCTAGGTTCTCTACACATATGCTGCTATGTATGATAATTCTTTGTAACTGTATTTGTGTATACCTAAATAAACTTACTTACTTACTCTCTTAACCTCTCTCTCTCCATATACTCCTCCCTCCTTGCATCACTTCTTGAATGTGGCCTTGTTAGATTACAGCTAACTTTAATGAGGCCTTCCAACATAGGAAGGTTCTCCACCCTTGACCTAGCCCAACATCTGATGCACCAAAGATATACCCATTTTATGATCCTCACTACTGAATCCATACGATCTCCCACATCCTATTTGCTACAGTATAGCATATTTCTATCCTGAGTACAACTTTGTTTACTTCAAGAGAAAGGGGTGCCTTAATGCTGGTGAAGAGCTCTTGATCTGAGGAATTGGAGGTAATCCTCCTTTTTGGATCAAACCTCACTGATGCTTATTGCTCAAGCACCGTTTCGACATTACTAATAATTTAAATTTTTTTCTCCCTATATGGGACCAGTACTTTACTCACTGCCTCCTCTCCTTTGTCCCAGAATGTAAACATGAATTTATTCACACCAAATTATTCTACATTATCTCCTATAATGCCTTATTCTCCAAATCCTTTTTTAATCCATTCCAATCCCTTCTCCCTCTTTCCATACTCACTCTCTCCAACATTCTTGGTGGTGTAAACATCTTCTGAATGATTGATGATGGCCAAGTACTGGTCCACCAGATAGTTGAACACTTGGTCTACATTGAGATCCTCTTTCACCGATGTTCTGTATAGACGTACACGCAGTTCCCGTGCCAGAGATTCAACCTCATCCCTGCAAGGTCAACATACATTAAATAAAGTCAGGACTAAGTAAAAAATCTTTACAGTGAAACCACTTTCAAATGCATTGCACAAAAAATTGGGGGTTCATCATGGCACCTTGCCCAAGTACAAGTCCATCTAACCTTCTGCTTTAACTATCTCCCAGCAAATGACATTTCCTTATAAAATTAAATACAAACCAGGATCTACAGGGTGCTTTTCAAGATAAGTTATGGTCTATTTGTCAACACACACCTGCACTATGTAGCTATTTTATTTTAAACAAGTTACAATGTGTAAATAATAGCTATAGTACCTACCATGCATTTCCCTGTCATATGCCATCACACAGGATGGGTTTCATGTATACATAAAATCTGTCTACTTAAGCTGGCAGACTTCAATAGGATAATGAGGATACTGTCCAGCATTTCACAATGGTACAGTAGCTAAAGCATTATTATTTTATTCATAATAATGCACCAACCTAGCTTTAAAAGGTTCATCTCAGCAGGCTGGAGTCACCTGTGTGGCCATCACACTCTTGTGACTTTTCTGAAATTGCCAACTTAACCCTTTGACTGTTTCAGGCCCCTCTCTGAAACTGTCATTCTATGTCGCCAAATATTCGAAAAAAACAAAAATTATTTTTTCTTATGAAAATGTTAGGAATATTTTTGTGAGCGTTTTAAGCCTAATAAAAAAATTTTGCCATCAGTACTTACCGAGATATAGAGCCGCAAAGTTTGCAGAAAGTGACGTGTGTATGGCAACAGCGGCGACTGCCGCCCACCCGGTATTCTTTTATTTACTCTAATTCAAAGGTTTCTTGCATTTTTCAATATTTTTCTGTTCCAGGTAACTTATGTGGCCTGTGAGACCAATGTAAGGTGCATTGTTCAAATATATACTCATTGTTTACAACACAATAACAGAACAAACTTTATCACTATTAGTTTGTGTATACACTTTGTTTACACAAACAAACAATACAAAACAATGTTTATTACTATTGTTCCATAATATATATACATATGTACAGTCACTAAACACATTCCTAGAACTGCTGCAATTACGACGCACTGTGCCACACATGTCTGTCAAGTTCGCTCGCAAGAAATCACTGAGTAAGGGGCTTGTGTACCAGTTATCAGTAAATAACATATGCCCCTTACCAAGATATGGTTCCATCATTGTTCGAACCACATCACCAGAGATACCCAATAACTTCATGGTATCTCTCAAAGTATTACTGCCAGTGTACACAATGATATCCAAAACTAGACCACTTCTGCAATCACACAGTACAAATAGCTTTATACCAAAGCGTTTCCTCTTGCTTGGTATATATTGCTTGAATGAGAGTCTTTCTTTGAATAAAATCAAGGACTCATCAATAACAAGCTTCCTGAAGGGATAAAAATACATGCAGCACTTTTGTTTCAGGTACATAAACACATTTCTGATCTTATATAACCTGTCGCTTCTGTCAGGCCTGGTTTTGTCTGAAAAGTGTAACATACGTAACAGTATCAGGAAACGATTGACACCTATAATGTCACTAAAACCTGGAGTTGAAATCAGGCATTCTGTTGCCCAGTATGTGGTGACAGTGTGCTTATACACAGTGGGCATAAGCATTATTGTGGCAAAAAACAGGTACATCTCTGCCACAGTTGTCTCCTTCCACTTGTGTAGCCATGATTTTGGTGAGAGAATTGTATTTGCCATGGTGTAATCACAGTATGTGTTTGTTTCCCTGACAATGATGTCCATCAGGGGTTCATCGAAGAATAACTCAAAGCAGTCCAGTTCACTGGCATTGTTCCCAAGTGGACAAGATGGCTTTATTCCACTTTGTGTTTCATCAAAGTCATGGGGACTGGGAACAAACTCGTCACCGTCCTGCCAATCCCAGATGCGGTCTGCTGGTGGGGTCTGGATATTGTACCGTGGTTGTGGTTGTGCAGGTTGTGGTTGTGCAGGTTGTGGTGGTGCAGGTTGTGGGAGTGTGGGGTAGGGTGAGGCTGGTTGTTGTGCAGAGTCAGCAGCGTGGCCCGCTGATGGTGCCACATGGGCCGTGCCATCCTCACTATCACCACCACTGCCTGCTCCATCACTCACATCATTCATACCCATCGTTACAATATCGTCATCTTCACTATCGGGTCGTGGTGTAGGGCCACGGGATGTGCTCCCAGAGTTTCTCCTTCCCCTTGGAACAACATATGAAACACTACCAGACCGCATGCTACGTCGTACATACTGCCGCTTCACTGGGGAATATTCACTCTCACTGTCACTAGAACTGCTTTCAATGACCTTGAAATCACTATCACTATCACTGCTAACATCTGGGTGTTGTACACGACCAAATAGTTTCCTCTTTCGTCCTGGTACAGGCGAACGTGAACGTGAACAAGCCGGCCCAGCACCAGAGGTGGAAGGTTGTGGGTCATCTGGGTTTTCATCACTAATTACGTTATCCTGGGCACTTTTTCCGGTAACACTCGCTTCAAAACCCTGGAATTCACTGTCACTGACATTTTCATCGCTGTTAGAGCTATCACTTGGGAACAAAAGACCTCCAATCCGCCGAGGAGTGAGGAACTTCTTACCGAGAGGCATGGTGAAAATGGACTAACAACATGGCGTTCCCACAATGCACCGCTGGGTCCCAGATTTTTTTCACAGGGTGCACACCGACCACTGAGCCCCATTCTCTCTCATGTAGGCCTACCAGGCCTTTCCCACTTGATTTGAAGCCGCTAGAATTTGTGCGTATAAATACAGTACGTCAGAAACATTGGCTCGTAAGACGTATTTATACGTCGGAAACAGTCAAAGGGTTAATTGGTTTTCTAAATGATGCTGGTTATTTTACTTTTTATGATAATATGTGTTGTGTGTTCATGATATTAACGGGGTTTTTATTTGTTAATTTACCTTATATGGTCTTGTGTTTTTAATTTATATACACTGCCGAGTAATCTACCAGGTCGAAGTACTCTTCGTATGTGAAAACTTCCTTCAAGATTACCCATTACATACCATATCACATTGACACTTGGGTTATTCTAGGTCATTTATGTGTAATTTATCATTAGTGTATGCCTATAAATGTATCCTTAGGGGACAGCACCAACTGAAAGGGAAAGGGTGTCATCCCCGAAAAATCCTGTTAGACCCCCAAATAAAAAAAATATATATATATAGAGTGTATGTATATGTATGTGTATGTATGTGATGTATATATATTATATATTATATATATTATATATATATATTTATATATATATATATAATATATATATATATATTTTATATATATATATATATATAAAAGCCCCCTTCCTTCTATCTAGATAGCCACCCCTAAGCCCCTAATATACAAATTTTGTCAATGTCCCTGTATATGCTTATCTAATTACTTATCTTTATTACTTTTTTTAAACACACTAGCCATTTACTACCGAGGTAGGGTGACCCAAAAAACAAGAAACACTTTCACCATCACTGTCGTGCCAGAGGCCTGCCAATACTACAGTTAAGGTGCCCCTCCAAACGACAATATACTCGCATCTCCTTTAGAGTGCAGGCACTCTACTTCCCACCTCCAGGGCTCAAGCTCAGCTAACCAGTTTCCCTGAATCCCTTCACAAATGTTAACTTGCTTACACAAATAGCATAAGTCATAAAAGCCACTGCCTCCACTCAAAACCTTTACCCCAGCAGGCACCAGTATACTACCATGCAAGCCAGTTTATTTTTAGTAAACTTCCTACAACTGTTAGCTTACCACAGTGTAAAGTCATAGTGATGCCACAGAGTATAGCTTGTGCAAATACAATAAAAGGAAAGTGATAGGGTTGTAGAGTTGGCAGTGGTTGCCAGATTTCAAAATTACACAAGTCAAATACATACTCCTTTAGTAGACTTACACCCACTGGCCTACCATAGCTTAACCCTTTCAGGGTCAGCAGGCCCTCTTCTAAACTTGTTCTCAGGGTCGGAAATTTTTCGAAAAAAAAAAAAAAAATTCTTATGAAATGATAGAGAATCTTTTCCTGATCATAATGACACCAAAAGTATGAAATTTGATGGAAAACTTATAGAATTATGCTCTCGCAAAGTTAGCGGTCTTGACGATGTTTGTGCATTGGCAATTTCGCCCACTTTGAGCCCTATTTTCAGCCAATTCCTATGTACCAGTTGGCAAGTATCATACCTATTTCACTAGAACTCCATTTTTTCTATCGAATGAGTACAAGAAACCACCCATTTACCGATTTCAACTATCCAATAAAGTGATCAGAAATTAGCAATTTTGCCAATTTCATACAAATTTCAAAAGATGCCAATTTCCAAATACGGTCCAGAATAAACAAGACAGGCGTTCCTGGCACTAAAATAACATTTCCTTTGTTCATTACTTACATTCATAGGCCTCTGTTACATTTCTTTTGCTTTCCAAATTTGAATTTTTATTCTCACAAAAAATAGAAGATTTATGTTATGCAGACTACTGCATTAGTGTAGAAATGGTATAAATAATATCAGTGCACTTGTGAAAGAATATTAGATTCACCAGTTGACGTGTATTGGATGTATGGCATGATTTGTTTACCACTGAACTTTGGCAAAAAATCGAGCATTTCTGTTACTTTGAGCTCAATTTCAAGGTGCTTTTCATTGTGAAACCAATCAAAATCATCTCAATTTCTGTAATATGTCTTCCATTCTATAAATTGAGACCAGGAAAACTAGAATACAACCATAAATAGCATACAAAAATACACTGCAAAGTTCCAAAAACACGGTCGGAGTTTTTTTTTTCTCATTATGCACTGTGTGCTGCAGGATTTTTTTTATACTGCGCACACTGACCACATAGACCCATTCTTTCATATGTAGGCCTACCAGCTTTCTCTCGCTAGATTTGAAGGCGCTAGAATTTATGCGTACTAGTACAGCACCAACCCCAGCGTGCAAGTCGTACTAGTACGGCAC